GCTGTTTCGTCCTAGTATGGGACTCCTCAGCAGTGCGCACCTATGGCCCCGCCCCGCCCCGCCCACCCCACCACGGATCGAACCCAAGACCTTCAGGCTCCGTGACCAGCACGTTACCACTGAACCACTCGGTGGGAATCCAGTAGGCCATATTTCTAGATTCTGTCAGTTCACGACATAGTGTGACCATCATCCAATATGATCGTTGCGTATTTGTCCTTATGTCCACTAGGTTTATCCTACCGATCATGACTTCTCATTGTAAGTTCAGTAATCACCTGTGGAAGCTAGTCACCAATGAGCGATAGATGAGTTTGGTTTTGGGGTTTGTGGAGATTTAATTATTTGAATACTTAACGATGACACTGGATGATGGTCGCGCTATGTTGTGAACTGACAGAAGTTGGAAACGTGGACCACTGGATTCCGACCTAGTGACTCAATGGTAACGTGTTGGCCACGGAACCCGGAGCTTTCGTGTTCAATCCCTGGGGATGTGGGGTAATGGATGCGCACTGCTGAGGAGTCCCATGCTAGGACGAAACAGCTGTTCTGTGCTTCCAGGTTTCCAGCATTCTTCCAGCTGATGCCAGAGCATGATGAATACCATCTTGAAAAAGCCAAGGAAAATCACTGTAAACTAAGTGGCCACCTGTCAGGTGTTTCGTCAATGCTCAGCAGTCGCTTCACGTGAGATCGTATTCAAGTTTTTTGGGTCTTGCGGGAACTTTACCACCTGATAGCGGATGGATTTAAATTGTAAAAGCCCTCAAACTTTCTAGCTTTTGATAATTCTTAGTGGTTTCTCTTAAGTGATTTCAAGTTGGTATTCATCATGGACTGACATTAGTTGGAGGACCGTTGAAAGCCAGGGGTCAAACCGAGGACCTAGTACGGGTGCACGCTGCTGAATAGCCCCGAACTCTGACAAAACAGTTATCCCATGCACTCAGGTTTTCAATGGTTCTCCAACTGATGTCAGTCTATGGTGAAAATTATCTTCAAATGAGTTGGGTTGTTGGAGACCACCTAGTACAAAATAATTTAAGGCTCATTGTTGACTAACTGCAAGACGTTTTCTACTTCATAGTCGTTACCTATTGGGTCCTAGCTACTTCAGAAGCGAGGCTAGTTGATCTTTAGTCATATTGTATGACGGTCGCATCGCTTATTATAAACTGAGAGTGTACTTGGATGAGTCTATCACAGAAATGGTATCATTTCTCCCAGTTCTAATGATTCGTAACTATCGGCGAACTCTTGTACTGACTTCATTTATCTGATAAAAAATAAGTCAAATTCATCCTCATCTATCCGCATGCGAAAAACCTAGTTTGTTTTATGTTCGGAACTGGACCACATCAGCAAGAGACATGATATCCGATCAAATAAACTCTTTGGGAAATACAATTTTACCGAAATGTATCAATTCCGTACTATGTTTGTGTCGAAAACTTGTAATATACATCAAATAATGGCTGTGGGAAATTTCCTTTGAGTGTATTCAAACACGTCAAACTGTGGAATTATGTCGTTAGACGACGCCAGGTAACCACCACCTTCAATGGTCAGCAGGTTCTATCAACTATAATCAGGATATTAATGTTGGAGAGTGACTAGCAGTGGAATCCAGGACACGCGTTTCGTCCTATTTGAGACTAATCAGCTGGGATCGATTGCTTCAAATGCCACAGCACTATCCTCTAGACCACGAGTTCGAGTGCTGGTGGAAACACCATAGATCACTGGGGGGCAGGTGCATCCAGCCGACGAGTAACAAGCAGGACGAAACCCGCGTCCTGGATTCCATTACTAGCTATTATCCATCATTAATATATGATTCAAATACAAGCAATATCGAGGCATCTACTCACGAGCCCATATGCTAATGGAGACCGATCAATTCGGTCAACTCGACGAGACAATACAAGTAGCAACATTATAATCAGGATGTTCCGACCACTATAAGGCGATTGCTTTTAAAATGGTAATTTATGTAAGCACACGTACTTCAAGTGAACGAGTTCCGTAGATCGTACAAATTTGATCAAATGACAGTAAGAAGCTGATACAACCTGGAGTCGATGGGATGTACAAGTAATCTACTTGCCGACTTACCAATCAACTCCACCACCGTTTTCACCGATATCAATCATTGCTTACTTCATTTTTTTAATCTTTTACGTTCTGATTGTATTTTCAACTGTCTGTTTGCTGCGATATAAATTGTATTTCTTATTGTACTCAGAAATGTAATCCATCCAGATGTAATTATAAATAGTCATGTTATCTTAGGTAGAGATTTCAGGGTGAGTTTGGGCCTCACCATAAGTACTACCTCACGATGAAGTGAATTTTGTGTATCGTTTACGAAAACCTGTAGTGATAATTCGTTTTGAATTGAAAAGTCAGTGAATAGACGGTTAATTCCACTCTGTTTGACTAGTTGATTGTTATGGCTCTGGATTTTTTCTAACCTTTGATCATTCTTGGTTCCATACTTCTGAGATATTGTTGTTTTGTCGGTCATTAGAACAACTCATTGCTGAGTTTTATATCATTTCAGTTTCATAACTTTTATTTATTCGTTCTAGATAAGATTATGGACCTCATTAGATAACTGTTTCATCTGAAGATTTTAGTCTGTTAAACTGTTCACTATTTGACTAGAAATTTTGTTGGGAATTGATTGATTCTAACAAAGTTTTAATGATAATCAACGTCAGCGAGATCCCATTTAAAATGCACAAACATTGGACAGCTGTTTCTTTGTAATTAAGAAATCCTGAACAGTCCGTACCCACGATCCTGTGTAGGCACAGACACTGAAACGTCATGTTTCGTGGTAAGGATAATACTACCACTGAGCTACTGGGTAGAATACAATATCCCACGTTTTTCAACTTATTTTGATGTACAATAGTGCACTACCATCAACCAGTAACTGTCCTCATACTCAAGTTGGTTGATCCTATAGGTGACAGCTTCTAACTAAAACTTCGGAAAGTTCGTCTGGAAGCCAGTCACTAGCATGTACTGTATTTTGATTCAACTAAAAGAGGCGTTTGATTAATTGGTTGATCCCAAGATTTGCTATAATCTAAGTTTAGATATACCATTTTATGTTTTTGAAGTAATTTAATGACGTGACGCTTATTCACACTTTCTATTATCATGTTTATTCACGAATCATGCCAGTTCATGATAATAATGTACACGAAGGTGAAAGGAAGGAAGACCAAACAAAAACCATATTTTCAAACCCCCGCTTCACTTTTGTATCGCATAAACCACAACTTTAACAACCAGTCAATTTATTCAACTGTGCTTCAATTTTTATTGATTTATTAGGTTTATCACACAGTATAGGGACAGTATTGTTTAGTGGATAACGTTTCGGACACAACTTATTGTCCATAGTCATATCAAGATGACTACTACACAACTTTGACATATCGTTTATATGGTTCCTATTTCCTCGCCCCCTTTTTTATATGGGTAGTAAGATTTCACATATATCCACAACATGTACCCAGTCATTTCTGTTTCTACATGTATTAGGTGTTGATTCGATAAACAAAGACTCAGTTATCAATCTCTCCCTCCCTCAACCCTGCTATCTTAGTTTTAAGGATTTTCACCCTGTCACATCCTATTGTGTGGTTGTGTGCATTTTCATCCATAGCTATGGATGAGCTTTTTTCTAGATTCCTCACCTTACTAGGATCTATCAGTTTCGAGCTAGCAAGATTTTTGTGCTTGGATAGCCTAATTGAAGCTGGTCGACTACTTTTACCTATGTATTTGACCTCACAATCTTTGCAAGGGTTTTGGTAAACTAAGTTATTCCGTCTAGTTGTATCATTCGGATCTTTTAATCTAAAAAGCTTATTTATAAGTGAATCTGTAGGTTTAAATGTGACTCTAATCTCAGCCAGCCTCATTGAGAATCCTACTTAGTGTTTCTAAGGTGCCTTCTTTGTATGGTGATACTGTTTTCACTATTTTCTACTTCATAGGTGAATTGGATTGCGTTGACTACTGGGGTAACATGTGTGAAGAAATTATGTGTGTGCTCTAATTTCAACACTGTAAACGTATAGTCCACATATCGAAATCATATTTTTGGAGCCGGACTAAATGTTTCTACAGTCATCTGTTCCCAGCTATCCATAAATGTCAGCCACAATAGGAGATATTGATGATCCCATGGCAACTCTTTTTGTTTGTTTGTTTGTATATTTTATTCTAGAACCTCTTTATTATGGAAGTCAGGCATAACTCTACTCCCAGCATGATATCATCTACTGGTACCTTAGTTCTTAGTGTAACTTCATGATCATTATTAAGCTCGTTTCTAACTGCTTCCAGAGCCATGAGAATCGGTATATTGGTATACAAACTAACTAACGATTTTTTCATCGTCATCCAAATGTATGTCATCTAATCTTTGCTTCAAGTCATCAGAGTCAGTAAGTCTTGATTCAAAACGGTTTTTAATTGGACCTAGTACCATCGCTAAATATTTAGATAAGTCATAAGTAGAAGTGTTTCTAATGTCTACTATCGGTCTAATAGGATAACCTGATTTATGAATTTTAACAGTACCATAAATTCTATTGTGATTACTAGTTTTTGGCATTAAATTAAACCATTTTGACTCACCTAGGAACGGCTTCATTTGGCGTATTAGATCCACCGTGGTTCTTTTATAAAACTTTACTCATAAGTGTCCATTGACTACTGAACTTCTTCCTATGGTCCTATTTCCATATATCCCTTGACTTTCTCAACATTATCAGACTTGTTTAACACTAGTGTTGAGTTGCCTTTACCCGATTTAGCAACTACAAGGGTTCTTCAAAGCTTCTTTTCCCGCTTTTGGTAAGTTTTATTTTATCTTCTTCTATGGCATATTATGCTCGAACGTCATCTGTGTTCATTCGTGTTAATCGTTTCCCTTTAACTAAGCTTTTCTCTGTCTTTTCTATATTTTCAAGTTGGTTGTACGTGTTTTCCGTCCGGATAGGACAACCAAAGCGATATTAATTGACCATCATATGACTGCTGGTGAAGTTGCTAGTATGATGATTGAAAAAAATTTCTTACAACCATCTGTACATTTAACTTTGGTAGAAAAAGTTCCTGCCTTAAAAATAGGTAAGTCTTTCAATATGATTCCCCGTCAATGTTTAATATTAATGAAAATGTTTTACTGCACCAATTGATATTATTATGGTCCTCAGTAATTGTTAGTAGTTAAATATTTTAAATTCACTTTTTTCATTAATTGACTGTTGAGCTGAACATATTCATATTTCAATTCAGCTTTCTTGATTCTTTAGCGAAATGGATGCAACAATTTGACTACTAAAGAAACAAATTATCAGCTTATTTGTTTACATTACATCTAGTCTAATTCTCTATTTTGTTTTCAAATTTCATTGAACCTTTCAAACTATGAAAGTGTTATGTCATCATCATTGGTATATCAGGCTCAACCTCTTTGAACAAGGCTATCTAAAATACTATAATTAGGAAACAGTGAAACTCTCTAGTCTTTTATGAAGTAAGACGTTTTTGTAGTCTACCAATCACTAAGCTCCTTCAGTACAACTTAGATATTCTATTCAGAACACTTATCACCAGCATATTAATGATGGATAGTGGCTAGCAGTGGAATCCATGAAGGGCGTTTGCGTCCTATTTGGGATTTGTCAGCTGAATGTACCTGCCTCCCAGTGAGTGATGTTGTTGGACTCTGGGCATCCACGTAGGAGCCCATATGTCAATAGAGACCCATCAATGCAGTTCAATCAATGACTGGATAATACTAGCAATAACATCACTTATCACCATCAGTTTGTTTAGTTTCTGCAGGATATCCTGTGGAATATAATGATGTTCCTGTTCCAACCTAATAGGCATGCTTATAGTATAATTGTTTTTATATGATACCGTCATTGATTGGACAGAATTGATCGGTCTCTATTAGCATATGGGCTCCTGTGCGGATGCCTTGATATTGCCAGCGTTCTAATTATGTTAATAATGGATCGTGGCTAGCAGTGGAATCCAGGATGCGCATTTTGTCCCATTTGGGACTGAACCAATTAAACTAGTAGGTATGATTTGAAACTCAACATTGTGTTTGATCATGCATCTGAATCATGACATTGACCTTACAAGTTATATTTATCGCCAGTTTTTCCGTTCAGTGAGTCGGTTGCCTAGCTTTTTAATCTGGAATGTGTTTCTATTGTATTTCGTTATCTGAGTAGACAGATCATAAACACACCAATTCTCGAGTAAATTTATAAGTAGAATATTCCATACAAGATGAAACGTGTTTTTCTGAATTGTACAGGTAACCAACCGCCTGAAAGTCATTAAATCCTCCATCAACAAAATAAAGTATCAGTTAGATGATGAGAAGATCCTAAATAAAAATAATGAACTTTGTTGCCAGTCTGTCTCATCATTTGTCCATTTTTTCGTCATGCTTAATCTTTTCTATGTGTATTTCGGTAATGCTTTCGTGCACCTGCCAATTCGGAGTATTTTGCACCAAACTGTTTGATGGCTAATATACTTTGAGATTTATTAGGATTCTGTTTATTTCTACGTAGTATTCATCACAGACTGAAATCAATTAGACACTGAATAGCTATTTTGTCCTAATGTAGGACTTCTCAGAAGTATGCATCTACGACTCCACCAGGGGTCAAACTCAGAATCTTCAGGTTTCGCGGTTAAAGCGTTAACCATTCTGCCTTTGAATCGAAGTCCAATGGTCCACAGTTTCTCACTTCGGTTTATTTGCGATATAGCGTGACTTTCCACTGAGGTCTTCAGTTAACATTCGTCTCATTTCCGACTGGTGGATTTCACAGGTCATGGCTTCTCATCAGAACCTCGAAATATCCATCTCGAAGTGGGTCACTAATTATCGCTATGGGAGATTTTATTGATGGTTATCGTTTAAATTTTCACAATGTTGGCTGAGGTGGGTCCAGGCTGGAAAAAGGCTCGAGGTGGCCAGACTAAAACATGGCACCAGTGTATGAAGTCGCTGACTGTTGGTTTAAGCAATGTAGAGGGGCGATGCAGACTAGGTGGTTGGGGTCCACGGGACAAGAGGAACCAGTGGTTGGAGACCCTAGGTGATATGGCTCAGAACCGAAGTCAGTGGTGCAGATGTATACACACATTATCCTCATCTTAACGACGCTATACCGAATCTCACCATTTTGTCACTCCTCTTTTCTTTCTTCTTGTACTTGATATTTCTTTTGACTGCATTCACTTATCTTCATCCTTCACCTCACTAACTTTCCACTTGATGAATTGACGTGAGGTGTGGCAAGTGGGACCGTGAGGCAGTAATGCCTGGTTCTATGTTGATAATGAAATGAAAAAAATGAAAAATTTCTAGATAATCTTGTATGCCGAATTTGACGTAACTTTACGCATAATCCATTTTTATTCTCTTAACTTCTCTTCTTATAAACTTCACCAACTAGTGATTATATTCTCTTTCCCGATTACTCTATCTTACATCCAGGCGCCTCTTATCATGATGGAATGATGTATGGTGTAGCAACTTGAACCAATACAGTATCAGATATAATGATTGACCCTAGAAGTGATAGACTAAGTTTCCACTTTATTGTTGGTACATAAGAGGTGGCTATCGTGATTCGGTGAACTAGTGGATAACGTTCTGGCATTTGGAGTGACCGGTTCCTAGTGGGAACAATATCGCTCACTGAGAGGCAGGTAGATCCAGCTGAGGAGTCCGGAATAGGACGGAACGTGCATCCTAGACTCCTTCGCTAGCCACTACCCATCATTAGTATAGATTTTCACGTTGTTAAAATTCATTTTTAGATAAGTTTGCTGTGTTCTCTTTTTAGTTATAGCGAGTTTTAATTTCCAGTTGTTGACCTTCTAAAAATTTTGAAAGTTTCAGGTTTTATTTTCAACTGTCTCCAACCACTTGACACTATCCGAAGAACATCGTATTGACTAATCTCTTAGATCGGTGATTTCATGATAAAGTTGATCGACAAAAATCGCTCCATACTTAGGACTAACCAATATGACATTAGCTTGTACTTCAGTAACCAATCCATATATTCAATCTAGTTTTACAGGCGATCAGTCCGGATCTGAATAGCTGAGTAATAATGTTTCACCTGAAGTATTGGGTACTGGAGGTTTAAACCTCTGAAGCACTCTCAGTTATCTTTGGATTGCAAATAAAACTTAGTGAGTAGTGTCTACAAAGACAAAACTTTGTTCAAATGAGACTTGTTCCTGATTATCTTCGACGCTTTAACTTCTCAGTATCTAGATTCTACCTTATATTAGAGTTTTAAAGTCAAAATTATCAAACCATTTGTAGAGTATACTTATATTAGTAGAAATTATACATTGGATTTTTCAGCAACTAATTACAGTCTGTTCCATGGTATTTAGACAGTATTACATGTTAGCTACAAGCGTTGTTCCCCTATCTTTCCGCATTATTTCAATTTTTATTCCTTATCATTAATATCAAGACAGTACCGGGCATTGCTGCATTATGGTTCAGATTACCACACCTTATATCAGCACATTAAGTAGTAAATCAATGAGATGAAAGATGAAGAAATAAAGAAGAGTCGGTCAGAAGCAGTAAAAAAGCGAAGGAGGAATGAGAAAATGCTGAATTCAGTATAGTGAATAAGATTAAGATATAGTGTGGATACATCTGCATCATTAACATCAATTTGGAGTTAAATCACCTGTAGTCTCCAACCACTGGTTCCTGTCGTCACATAGACCTTAATCAGCTAGTCTGCATCTCTCAATATGGCTCAAATCAACAACCAGAGATTTCATGCAATGATTCAATCGTTTAGTTTGATCGTCTTGAGCCTTTTACCAGCTTGAATCTACTTTAACTAACATTGGATGACGAGGTAGATGGCTACTAGACATATGTAACATATGTCTCAGTTGTCTCAGTCGATGGTTATAGAACGTTAAATTCTATTGACGTCTTAAAAAAAAACATCTCATTGAGCTGTCATAAAAAGACTGTCACTTTTATATGTCACAAAGTTAGATTAGGAGGTGTACATCTGTACTGAAGTGTGAAAATTAAGTTAAACTTGTAGTTCATATATAATTTCAAGTGTCATCCTAACTATCTGCCTACTTTATAGATAACTGGCTTCTTTTTCTTTCAATTTTAGAGCGAGTTTTTGAAGAACATGACCTGTTATCTGATTGCATTCTAGCATGGCCGACAAAAAGTCAAAATATGATATTTTTTGAGGAACGACTTGATCATTTTGGTCTTCTTGAATCTCCTGACGTATGTTTTCTTGTTTATCTTATAATGCTGCATTCATCTGCATTCGTTTTGTGATGTTCCTAGGCAAAATTTAAATGTTGGTAATATGATCATCAAAATAATAGTGAAACATATAGTAAGACACAGTGATGTTCCTCATCTCACAAGAAGTGACTATCGTGACTCAATGGTCTAGTGGATAACGCTCTGGCGTTTGAGGTGAACGGTTCCGAGTTTGAATCCTAGTGGGAATAACTTCATTCACCAGGAGGCAGGTGTACATACGGCTGACGAGTCCTAAATAGGACGAAACGCGGGTCATGAATTCCAGTGCTAGCCATTATTCATCATTATTTCTGACTGAATTAATTGAGTGGCCAACAGAGGTCAAGCAATCCAATCCAGCACAGCAGTGAGAGATTATAAGCACCGACAAACAAAAACTGATACTAGTTGCACAAGAGGTAGCTCCTTTACCTCAGTGACCTGATGGATAACTCCATGCCATTTAAATCGATGTTTACTGGGTTCGAGTCTCAATGGGAACAGCATAAGTCACTGCGGTGTAGGTACATTCAAATGACGAGTCCCAAATAGGACGAAATATGTTTTCTGGTTTTCTCTGATAGCCACTACCAAACAAGTTATAAAATTATGAATATTCAGGTATCCAGTGAGAAGCCCATCTGCCAACAGAGGTCGAGCAATTCGACTCAATATAGCAACCGGAAAACGACTCTTTGTGGTTTGGAATTTTGACTTTCTTATGGCTGACACTGTTTGATCTCTGTTTGCATTTCACTTTGACATACAGACACCTTGTCATTTTCAGAAGCATCAGTACTTTATTATTTTCGGTTTGAAGTTGACTAGCACTGAAACTAAAAGTACGTGTTCTTGCCTATTCAAGAATTATCAACTGCCTATCTAGGCGTGTTTTTCTATCGCCACTGAAAATTGAACCCTAGCATTCATCGCTTCAGATATCAGAGCGTTACCTGATAGACTACTGAGACACAAGAACCATCGCTTTTGCAACAATTATTACATATTATTTAGAACTCATCACTTTCTGCGAATCGTGTGTATCTGACCATTGGATTGAAATTAGCATGAAATGCACCTCTTTGTACCAGTGATCAACAACTATATATAAAAAGAAAAGGTTATTAGAACCATTACTCTGTGAAGTTTTGTGTTTGAAACTAGACTTTTAATTATAAGTCAGTGTATGTTTACAATGTGGAATCGAAATGCACCTAGCAAGTATATGCACATTTCTGTAATAAACAAGGAATCATACTTTCTGTGTGAGAGTTAATGCTACTACCTGATTTCCCTAAACCTTAATAGGTGAAATCTGGGTTCGAACTTTTAACTTATTGATTGGAAGTTAAGTGCCTAGATTAATAAACCACAACTCCATTGACTACAGTTTAGTACCAAGCAAATCTTTATCGGTAAATATCTAAATGTTAAGTACAATTACCTCCATTTTTTCAGCTTATTATAATTTCTGGAAAGATGATTCCATTGATATGATGTGATTACTAACTGTTTTCTGGCACTACATGTTACTGTAATCTCGTCTCAAAGTGTATGTATCTAATGCTTATCAAGCATGACTGGATGATTTGGATCTCAAATTCGTTTTTATGAAATACAAGTGTAATAATATCAGTCTGTTTAATTGTACTTCAATCCCTTCTGTTGTGGTGATCATTTCCACAGTAAATCTATGTACATATTCCCGTTTTACAGTCTCAATACCAATCTAAATTGATGACTATGAGGAGACTTCGAAGGCAGAACAGCTGGCAGCAGTGTACACACATTCATCCTTTATCTTCATCTAGATATTCTTCGTCGAATAGCTTCCAACCACTTCAGAAAGTATAACGTTGATTTCTTTGATCCATCCTCTTTTTGACCTCTGTCTCGATCTGTTAATGCTAAGTGTAACAGCCTGGACTCTGGTACTCACTGGTACTTGATCACATGTTTATTTTTGTTCATTTGTCAAGAATTTCAGTGTTTCACTGGTTACTTCAATCCATAAACGCATATCCTAACAACATTTGTATGAACAGTTAATATGATTGTATAAGCTACAACTACTTACGGTACTTATAGCATCTTTAATTTCGAGTCTTAGTCGAAAAACCGAATCATTATGATTTAAAGGTGGCATTCACCACGAAATGACGTCATTTTGAGAAACATGAACTTGAAGGTCCTGAGTTCGACCTCTGCTGAGGAGTCTCATGTTGTGACGAAGCATCTGTCAAGCTGTTCCAGGTTTTCAATGATTCTCTAACTGATATCAGACTATGATGAATATCACCTTGAGATTAATCAATCCTCAAAAACCTACACCTCCCCTGGGAAACTGAACTGTAGTGTTTTGCTGTAGCGTCCAAAAGAAGTCGAAAACAGAGAGTTTTATCATCTCATGTAAAATATAGTATACACGGTGGATTTTCGCAATAACTCATTGATGAGTTGATCAGCATAGACCATATAGTCAAAAGGTTGTTATTTATGGGCTATATTGCACGATATCACTAGAATGAATGTTTTCATTGCTTAGAATGAGATATACTCATGTATTTATTAGTTGGATGGCGGCAATCAGTAGGAACCCCTACCCCACTTAGATATCGTGCTTGTCAGCACTTATCAATAATGTGTATCTGAAACCTCGATGGAATTGCTGTCCTACTTAAGACTCGAATTGGCGTCACCTAGTACTGCATTAAGGGACATTACCACGGAGTAATTTGGCCAGTGACTGACTTCCTGTAGGATTGTATTACATACATTGATTGATCACTAGAGGATAGTCAACCTCGTGTTTTCCAACCGTCAGTGCTGATCACATTCTATCGATCATTTTGAACTCTAGCCATAAAGCTAAGAAACTCATCATCCTGATGCACTGAGATTATATGTTAGTTGAATGAAAAGTTTGTAGTTGATTAGTTTTACTTATTCCTTAAAAATAGTGTAAACAATTTCAGTTTAAACATCTATTGGAAAAATATATACAAAAATTTGGACAATATATGGTTGAAAGAAGTTAAGAGAGATAGATAAACTATTTGGTTTTTTTAAACATACTACTAATATCAGTTGAAATTTTTTTGTCCAAAATCTTAGTGATAATGATACTTACCTATTCATAGATGTGAACAAGTGCACTGAACAACACTCTAAACTTCGATATCTATATCATAATCTTAGACATTAGTAATAAAACCTTTTCATCGTTATGATCACCATAAAAATGTAACTTTATTATACCAGAGTGTAGTTAGTGATTGAATGAATGTACACCGTGAATCATTAATTGTAGGTTTTGGAAATATGATGCTTTGTCTTTGATACTGGTGGGATGTATCAATTTTTAAGCTGGTTTTATGTTCTTATAGGCATGAAAATCTATTAAGGTTGGGAGATAGTTGTGCTGTATAACTGGAATTGTCAACTACTTATTTCCCGAAGATGAAGACGTTGACAAAAGAAGGGGATACGTTGGACCGGGGGAAAGAACCTAGAAGATTTGGATTTAGCCGATGACTTGTGTCTGATGTCGCACAAACTTGAAGATCTACAGGCGAAAACTAACAAGTTGACAGAAGAGGCAGGTCAGCGATGACGGGACTTCAAGTGAACAGAAGTGATGATGATACCCAACCAACAACAACAACAAGCTCCAATCACCATCAACGGGAGTAACTTAAAGGAAGTAGCCTCCTTCATCTATCTAGGCAGCACTGTTTCAACTACAGGCGGCACAGGCACAGACGAGGACGTCAAAGTAGCCAGGATCGGAAAAGCCAGCAAGACAGGTGTTCATTAACCTGAAACCAGTGTGGAGATCTTCTGCACTCAGCATGCGGAACAAGATACGGATTTTCAACACCAACGTCAAGTCAGTGCTTCTATATGGTTCAGAAACTTGGCGCGTTACGAAATGCATTTCTAACAAACTACAGATATTCATCAACAACTACCTACGCTGGCCCGGTACTGAAGATCAGATGGCCGGAAGCAATAAGCAACAAGGAACTCTGGAAACGAACCAACCAAGAAGCTATCATTCAACAAATATGCAAAAGGAAGTGGAGATGGATTGGGTCGTGCATACACTGAGAAGGCGGATTGGGGAAGTCACGCGTCAGGCCCTCGAGTGGAACGCAGATGGGAAGCGACGAGTTGGGCGTCCTAGGTGAGGGTGACATGGAGGAGATCGTGCAATGAGGAAATGTGAACTTGTGGGCTGTCTTGGAGCCAGGTTGGAAAGATTGCAGAGAAGAGAGTGGAATGGAGACGTGCTACTGAATCCCTATGTTCCACTAGGAACCCAGGAGACAAAAAAAAACCTTTACCAAATTATTGCATTGGTTTCACCATAACGATATCCGATTGTTGATTGAGAGTCAAGTGTACTGTGCTGCAGTTCACTCTGTTCTACTCTATGGCTCTGAAACACTGCCACTAAAGCTACAGGGTTCAGGTGTGTGACCACCATTTTTTTTAATCACACGCCTTGTGTCCTGGGAGTGACGGAGAAGTCAGGTGTAGAGTTTTAGGAAGGAGAGGAAAGTCATTTGATGCAGTTGTGAACGTTCATCGACTCAGATAGCTGGAACATGTCTGTTCTCAGTCCTTCTCGTCGTATTATCTTAACTGAACTAGATTCAGGCTGAAAAAAGGCTCCGGATAGTCAGGATAAAACGTGGCATTATTGTATGAAGTTTTTAATCATTGGTCTGAGTCATATTAGGCGATACAGAATAATCGGTTGGGATTTATGTGACAACAGAAACAAAGTGGTTAGAGATTCCAGGCAATATGACTCCGAATTTATGTCAATGACGCAGATATATCCATTTGTTACCTTCACTTTAGCTGCTACCCTGAATTCAATATTTTCTCTTTTCTCTTCTACTGCTTTTAATCAGTTTTTCTTCCTTTCAAGTTATTATTCATCGTAGACTGACATCAGTTGAAGGAACAAAGGAAACCTGGGAGTACTGGACAGCTGTTTCGTCCGACTAGTGCGGGACTCCTCAGCAGTGCGCACCCACGGCCCCACCAGGGATCGAACCCGCGACATTCAGGTTCCGTGGCCAGCGCGTTACCATTGAGCTAGCCACCGGGTCGGAATCCAATGGTCCATATTTCCAACTTCTGTTAGCTCACGATATAGCACAACCGCCACCTAATGTCATCGTTAAGTAACTGTCCTCACGACCATCAGGCTTTGCCCCCACTGGTCACGACTTCTCATTGGAACTTCCTTCCTTCCTTTCTTCATATTTCATCTTATTGTTTTGTTACTTACTGTGTCGATATACGGTGTGGTAACTTGAACTGTTATGCTGTAATGCCTAATCCTATGTTAGTGTTGATGATGATGAACTCTGCGGTAGAATGATATGAAATCTAATTAACGTGAGTATCATTATGATCCAGTACAAAATAAGGTCGAACAAGTCACCCAAGCCTAGCATCAGCTATCAAAGTGAAGTCAGTAATGAAAGATTTTAAATCGTCAAAAACTGTCAGCTTGATATTTTATAATACTGTCTCATAGATCTTGTGAATTTGTTTACTTATTTATTTAGGAAATACTGACAGTTATGCGCAATTAATTGAAAATGTAAAGATATGACGATCAAAAGTCTTACGTCATTTCAGAAATTTTAAATAAGCGGTTATCACCATCCTTCCATAGAGTTGGTTAGCATTTTTATGAACTGGAACCATGATTTTAGTAGAGGTTCTGTTGAAGGTAAGTGAATGGAAGAGGGGGAGTGGAAACTGCATTTGACGCCATAATCACCTCACTCCTGATAAATTTGTGAACATTGTATTCACTGAGATGACTTTCACATGCTTGGTGTATACACTGAGTTATCAAATAACTCGATACACAATATCACACAAAGTTACATTATCATGGAAGAAAGCCAAAAGTAGACAGACCATGAAATCTATGATTACTGGTCTGATCTGTTCAATGAAGAGTTGACTATCTGACTGATGTTCTCAAGATGCTAAGAATCAACAGTTGGAAATTCTGGGTGATCTATGCTTCGAAATCAGTGAATGACAATGGTGTAGATGTGAAAACTTATAATCATCTTCAAAGTTAAGAATATTTTCATTTACCTTCAATCCAGTTAGGATCTCTCCTATCATGCACTTCTATTGGCTTTACTATCAGTTTTTTTCGATTCATTTCTTATTTTTGTGCTGGTTTGAATTGTGGCGAGTTGAGTTAATGAACTTTAATGTCAGATTCTATATTGATTTGTTTATCTTTCTGTCTGTCTCCTCATGTGACTGATATGAATAGATTTCCAGTGTCGTTTCAGACTAGCTATTAAATCTTCTAAGGGGTATATCCAGTTTATATTATTATTATTTGTCCCTTGGGTTCCTAGTGGAACATAGAGCTTCAGTAACACGTTTCCGTTCCACTCTGTTCTCTACAATCTTCCCAACCTAGCTCCACAACAACCCAGAAGCTCTCATTTCTTCCTCACATGATCTCCTCCATGTCACCCTTGGACGCCCAACTCGTCGTCGAAGTAGTTTCAATGGTTAAACTTTAAAGTGGAATACCTCATCAACTCTACCTTAAATTATGAAATAAAATGTCATTTCTGTAAATTTCTTCCAAGTTGAAACAATTATTTTTTTATCGATAATTATAAGACCATCATTTTGACTATCTGGGATGGCCATGGTTTGACAGACTAGTATTGATACTGGATGAAGTGAAAAATTTGACCAGGGTCGGATTCAAATCAGCGACCAATGGGTTTCTGGCCCTACCTCATAGCTCAGTTGGTAAAACATCGAACTGGTGGTTACTGGTTCGAATCTGGCTCCGGTTCAAATTTTCATTTCAACTTCAATCATCACCTAGTAACAGATATAAGACTGAAAACTGAAATCTTTATTCACCCTACTATTATATAATCAATATTTCATGTCTATAAATGGAGTGAAGTTGATTGAACTGTTAAATTATTTACGCTTCAGTTAACTTGTACTCTTTCATTTTCAATGTTCTTTCACGTTCCAATTATTGACAATACAATTTAGCCTTAACTGTCATCTTTCTATTCATTTTGTCTGGTAGGCATTCTAAACGATATATTATCTAAATTAGTATTGTTACTACCTTGATAGTATGTCACTTGGGTCACATTTATGTTATTTGAGGTTGCAAAAAAAGGCTAACTATGTTGACGGCTCATGTAAGTGAAATTTTAACGGACTCACTCTCAAAAAGTCCTTATTTCTTGGTGGATTTATGGGTATCGACTGCTGGACAAAACAGTTTTTTCCAATGCCACCAGGGATTTTCTTTCAATGCTTCTCCAGCTGATGTCAGTCCCTGGTGAAGGCTAACTGGAAGTTCTTGGATGCAGTTGAACTAGTTGGCAAGGAAATTTATTACTTAATTGAAATAAAGTGTTTTTTCACAAACACTTTTTTGGTATAATGCATAGCTTTTGTTGATACCAACTGAAATATCACTGGTTATCCAATCAGCTTGATTATCGAGCTTAATTTCTGATTGTGGTCTTCGAAACTCATATATGTACAGTTGTACTGACTGTAACTATTATTGTTTTCTTTGGTAGTTGAAACTCACCAAGAAGTTTTATAACTGAGAGCTACTAGAGATTTTTGGTTTTTATAAGAGAATTATTTGGGCCATGGGGTCGGGTGCAGCACCTGCCACCTTCAGGCTTCGTGGCCAGCACGTTACTATTAAGCTAGCCACTGGGTCAGAATCCAATGGTCCATATTTCCAACTTCTGTTAGCTCACGATATAGCGTAACCATAATCGTAATCACAAATGCCTATGTCATCATCCGCTCTATTATCATTGTTACCATCATCATCATCATATAGTGTTTAGTTTTCCTCACGGGATATAATTTTTCAAATATCATATATATACGGTTGAACAGCTTGAAAATAAATCCTCTGAATATCTTGTACTTGGTAATTTTAATTCACCATTGTGACTCTGGATCAAATTGCTCTACCTCTGTTGGTATATGGACCCCTGTGTGGGTGCTTCGATATCACCTGATCATTGATTATATTGTAATTTACTTGATGATGGCTAGCAGTGGAATTTAGGACGCGCGTTTCGTCCCATTTGGGACTCATCAGCTGGATGTACCTCCACCCCAGTGAGTGATGCTCGCATCGATACTCGAACCTAGTACCCACTACCTACAAACGGCACAGCCTTATCCATCAGGCTAATGAGGCCCTTACATCAGTATTAAACACTTTGAACTAGACAGGTACTGCTGTATTTATTTATTGTCGCGTGCTTAAAGGTAATTGTTAAAGAACCCCCCTCCCCAAGCCTTTGAGTTAGTAACTGGTGGTCACCAGTAGGTTATACCTGGGTTGTCTACTCAGACACTGGCTATCAAGTCACTCTACTGCAGTCAGACATATTGCTGCTGGGCTATAATAGTCATTGTTGATATTTTACTGGGTGAGCCTGTAAATTACACTTTTTAAAATTTATATTAATTAGGAGAGTGATCAAATTTAACTCAATGACTAGATAAACGTAGTAAGGTGAAATACGAAGATCGGAACCAAACGGAACATTATACTATGCCAGAGAGATAATAAAAATATCAACGAAGAACCTCGCACCCAAATGCATCGGTCTAAGTTGCCAAACTTCACAGCACCATACAAAGAAGAAGTGGATACCGAAGGACTGATATCAAAGTAGACAAAGGTGTATGAGAGGAGAAGAAACTTGAAAATGAAGATTAGTCAAAAGATTCATGCTTTAGGAGACCCAGCCAGGTAGTTTGCACCTTCCTAAACGCCTCAGGCCAAGATTTAGGTACTTCACTCATGGAATGATTCAATGTCGTAGTCTGTTCATCCCGGACCCTCTTTTAACCTAATCCAACTTCCTTTAGTTTGGTACGTCGAGGTAGGTGGTGACTTGGCATCCGATCACATGTCCAAGTCACCTCAGTAGGTGAAGAAGGTTCACAACTTCATCAATCAACTCGCCTTCACTTTTTCGAACCCTTCATCTGAGCATCTTATGTTTTATAAGTGCAAGGTGGTTCAGATTTTCAGTAAATTCATGGTGGTTGATATCGAACTAATCAAGACTTATTAAGTTCGTGTAACTAAAATTTACTTGGGTTTGTGTAGAGGAGAGAGTAATGCAATTGCAATGACTCAACACCAGAGTTATTTACAAAAACCAAACCTACGACAATGAGATCCTCTAGGTCGAATTTTAATCTGTTGCAAAGAAATATTGCTCAGTGCAGTATTATACTACAGTTCTTCTCTCCACTTGACGAATTAAAGAAAGAACTTCCACTCTACATCTTGCTTTACATTTCACTTTTCTTTCTTTCTGAATGCTTCTTTTCTACAATGGGGAAAGTGTGGTAGCATTATGCTTCTGATTCTCCATACTGGGATGAAAAACATTACAGATATCAGTGTAATTGGATCGAATGACTTAAGTACAGATTGGCTGACGTCTGTAAACTGTACACTTCTTAAGCATAAATGTTATTCCTGTTAATATTTTATCTTTTTTTTTTAAGTTCTCTTTCTTTTTTTATTTCCCTAACATAATTTAGCACTGGATTGGTGAAGAAAGTACCTCGAAACAAGCTTTCCGTAGCGCTGAAGCTATTCAGGTAAGGCTTTTTTTCCCCCACTATCATTTAGTCTATGATGGAAATGTTGAAATGGTTGACGAAATCTATTGATCAGCTTGAGTCGTTTCTAACTACTCAGGTTGTTCAGTAGTGGTAGTAGTAGTAGTAGTAGTATCTTTTGCTAGTTCATGACATCTTTGTGTCAAAGATCACGTCTTTTGTTCTTGGCTAACGGGTGATTTCCAGTGGAAACTCTGTAGACACTATACCTGGGATAGGAGTTGGAAAACTACTCAAGTTTGAGAAATGTCAAGTTGATCGTCTTATTTATTGTGAACTTCATTTTTTATCGAAAGAAATGAAAGAAATACAGATGAAAAACTCTGTAATTATCAGGCGTTCATGCAAACGCATGAACAGACAAAATCAGCGTAGAACCCTCACAAACAGATGCACCATTTAACAAGTGGATAAACAAAAGACTCATATTAAAGTAGACGAAGATGTGTACAAGGAGAAGAGAAATATTCAAACTTTAGAAGATATCAAGGATTGAATACATCTGTGCCATTGTGATCGATTTTCAGCCAAAGCACCAAAAGTTCTCAACCACTGATTCCTATCGTTTCAGAGACCCTATACAAGTAGTCTGTCTCTCCCCAAACGGCTCAGACCAGCAGTCAGATAACTCATTCATCAGTTGGTACTACATTTTGCTCTGGTTACCCTGAAGCCTCTTTCAATGTAATCCAATTTCCTTTAGCATTTGACTTCAAAGTAGGCAGTGGTTCGACATGCACAGTAACCATGTCCAAACCACCTTAGTCGATGAAGGTTCACAACTTCATCAATTGACTTGGCTTTCTTTTCTAGTACTTTTTGTTTAACCTCAACATTGCTCACATAGTGAATCCACCAAACGCGAGCAATGCTACGATCGAAAACCTGTAGCCACTTTATATATCTTCTACCTTCAACGATCCTATCTCACATCCGTATAACAGGACAGAACAGACTGCAGCGGTGTATACATGTCTTTTAACCAGAAACTTTTTTAGTTATCATAACTATTGGATTTCATGGTCCAGCTTTCAGGTTTAATGATTATAGCTAACAAAATGCTGAGCAGTATCTACTAATCTGGCTGTTAGAGAATCTGCGTATGTAAAGTGTGCTTTCTCTTAAAGAGGAGACGAAATGAGTATCTAGGAGGAGTATATTTTCATGTTAACTCACTTGTCATACTTCTAACACCGTTTATTCGATATTATCATTAGTGGTTTATATTCTATAATCATTAAACCAAATAACTGAGTCCCTGTAGTAATTGGTCACATTCTACATCTGAACTCCTAATTGCATTTTGTTTCGTCATCTTCTAAGTTATATTACGTTCAACTTATCTTCTTAATAACTAACTGTACGATAGTACTACGATCTTCTAGCTCGATAGTTTAACATTGTAACCATATGAAGTCATATTAAAGTTAGTATTGATGATACTGCCTAGAAAGATAACAAAGTATATTCATGAATAAATCCTCTAACCTAGAGAAAGTTGTATGGCCATCATCATCGACTTGTACTAATCATCATCTCAGTTTTTATGAATATAGATGACTAGTATCTATTAGATGTTGTGAGTGTCAATCAGTGGGAAGCCATGGATGCCAGGTTTCATGCTTACTGGAATTCATCAGCAAGAGGAAACTGATGTTACCTTCATGATTCAAACGAGTATCAGTCAATGCTATTCAAGCCCCCATAACCATTGGATAACTGATGGGATTAACTACTTCTTAGTGCTTAGAACTTACCAAAGACTATTGATCTGTTAAGTTGAGATCTTTGAATACGAAGGTTGACTAGTGATTAGATCCAGTTTTATCGTTTAATCTATTTTGTTATAACTGAATACAAATAATCATATGATATTCATAGTTGAGTTCATTATTAACTACTTTCGTGATCATATGGTAGTCAATTGACGTCAAAATACACTTTGTTTTCATTATTACTTTTTCTGTTTTGTTTGAAATATGCATATAAAACGCTAAGTATATATTATCAAGAGTACTTACAGTTAAATAGCAAAATGTTTAAACGTATTCAACCTTTTCTACTGGAGATCATGTTATGAACGACAAGATTTCAAATCAGTATAAATATACCTTTTTCTAAGATAATTGAAGCTGATTTGATTCAGTTTGAAGCGAAAATAAACCTAAACTATGAAGGTGAATCCATGATACACCTTTCTTCCTATTTGAAAGTTGTCAATTGGATTGACCTGGCTCTTAGTGAGTGAGTGTTGTTCATGGAATTCCATTGCTAACGACTATCCCTCATTACTTTCAAATTGAAACCATGTGAAGTATTGAAACATCCGTCTAGGAGCCGATATACCAATATATACTAGTCAATTTGGTCCAATTAACAGCACCCACATAAACCTAAGTTAGTCTAATGATAGTGAAGAATGAAATATAATACACAGAATAACCATAGAGACACGTCAATATAGAGTAGTTGGTAATGTTTTATCAACTTAAATCGCTACAATTCAAACCAGCATAAAAATGAGAAATGGATTGAAGGTAGATGAAAATATTCTTAACTTTGAAGATCATAATAAGTTTTCACATCTACACCACTGTCAGTCACTGATTTCGAAACATATATCACCCAGAATTTCCAACTGTTGATTCTTAGCATCTTGAGAACATCAGTCAGATAGTCAACTCTTCATTGAACAGATCAGACCAGTAATCATAGATTTCATGGTCTGTCTACTTTTGGCTTTCTTCCATGATAATGTAACTTTGTGTGATATTGTGTATCGAGTTATTTGATAACTCAGTGTATACACCAAGCATGTGAAAGTCATCTCAGTGAATGCAGTGTTCACAAATTCATTTCTGTCTGTTTGTATATATGCATGTATCTGTGGTCTTTATAAATAAACAGTTTCTTGAATAAAAGGAGGGAAACAAAAACCATTTCACGTTATTTGTAACTTAGTTTACTGAAGAAGTGAAAAGTGATCTTCTCTTCACACTAATTATTATAGTTTATACTGCTGTTTATTTCCATTATAGAAGGCATTTTATAAAGGGCACATATATTTATTTATATAACTACGGTAGTCAGTGAATAAGGATCGACATACGTAAATGATGATGCCGATGATGATGGTAGATCAAGTTGCAAAGTGTAATCTTTATATTATTTGGCACCAGTTTTAAATGTCATTAGATTAAATGAACAAGAAATTCAACAAAGTACCAATGTGTATGTCTGTGTACTTGTGCGCCAGTATCCACTTTGTATGTCTGTGTCCTTGTTGTACGGTACTAGTTAACTTAGGGGTAATAGACAAGACGTTTATTGTCCATATTACAATGCAAACAATAGTGAATAAGTTATTCAATGAATTTGTTCCAGTAGTTATTGAAATCAGTTGTGTTAATGAAGCTTTTAAAGTGAAAATATTCAATCATATATCAGTTCAGCGTTCTTTTCATTCTACTATCTTCGGGTAAGGTGGATGAATGCTGTGACAAATAAATACTACTCACAGGGAACAAAAATGTTTTACAACGGTAGTATAACACATTTTACGTATAGGATATAGACTGTCTAAAATTCGATGATGTATACATGCATACTTGTTAGATTACGTTATACTTTTATTAGTTAGACAACTAGTCCACAAGATTGGAGATGTTTATCCTTTCATTGAAAGCTAGAAAATCATATGCAATAATACAAATCATTACGACACACTCTCTAATCCACTGTCTCCGATGTACTTTTCGTATATATTATCTGATAGTAGGATGATATTTAACGAGTGGAAAAACGTTTACTATGAATTAGATCCATTGAGTTTTCAAAGCAATTATCCATGTTTATTGAGGTTGTTTCACTTCAGCAAAACACATTTATTAGAAGGTAATAATCACCATGGAATGATATATCTGTTGGAGAACTCTTGAAAATATTAGAGGCCTGAATAGCTGTTTCGTTCTAGTATAGGACTCCTCAGCTGTGCGTATCCACGATCCTGTCTGGAATCTAACTCAGGACCTTCAGGTCTGGTGGCGAATTCGATAACCATTGAACTTTAACCCACTACCTGAATGATCAACACGTTCGTTGAGAGATCAGAAGATCCTAAGTTTCATCCCTAGCAGAGTTGTTGATGTATAGTGGTGTAGAATCCCAGTACTCCTAAGTTTCGAATAATTCTCCAATTTATATCAGTCCATAATAAATAAAAATTTGAAATTTATTTGAAATGCTAAATTTCAAAGCTTAAAATTAATTTTTCTAGTGAACACAAAAGCTGATCGAAAGTTGTTTCCTTATAAGAAGAAAAAGACCTCAGGAATTTTTTTCTTATTCTTTCTAATACTATTCAAAGTTGGTACAATCCATTAAGATGAGAACCATCTAAAGAAGGAATTCACTTGATAAAGTAGTCTTTTATTGGCAAAAGGGTAATAGATTTAACCGGCAAGTTGAAAATCTAAACTTTAATCATCTTATGGCTTCCATTTATCTCTTCATTGATTTCATGTTATAATCCATTGTGATTATATACTCGATGAAAAGATAATGAATTGATGTAGTCAATTTGAAAAGGCTAGAATCATTAGACAGAGAAAGCTGTTTAGTAATCATGGAACTTTTCAGCAAAGTCCATCTTCAGTTTAGAGTAAAGTTGTTTATTTTCTTTGAAGTATTTAAACTTAGATTGTTGAACAAGTGATTAATACATTTCCCTTTATTTATTTATTAGTTGAAATGAAACATTGATACGCTTCACATTATATGTAAATAATTCTGTTAAAAAGAAACATGATGACAAATATCCTGGCAATTAACTGAAGCTTGATAGCCGGCCGATAAATTCAACATAACCGTCTATCAAAATTGACTAGGCATACCAAACAATAGTATGACTTAATTCATCGTTTTGAAACAAGAGTTTTATCAACTTTTCAAATAAAAACTCATTTACATAACAATTGGTATGTAAAACAAACGGTAATCTAATATATTTTGAACCTCTATTGACATCTGTGATAACATAATCTTTAGGGGGTAATTATCGGAATCCACGTATACAGTTTATTCTTTTTCTAAACTTTACTGCATTTAGATGTGATGAGGAATTCAAGATACGCATTTCATCCACTTTGGGATTCATCAGCTGGAGTGATGTTCTTCCCACTGAAACTCGAACCTACTACTCATCGCTTCTTACACCAAAAGGGCGCGATAGCCACCTCTTGTGCAACGAGTATCCGTTGTTATGATACTTGTAATTCTACTTTACTATACAGAGACGAATTGCTCGAACTCTGTTGGAAGATGAGCTTCCAGGCGGATGCTTCAATATCATGCTCTAGAGACCAAGATGAATATAACCTTATGAATACCTGGCAGTATCGAGGCATCCATATAGAGGAACCCATCTATCAACAAGAGGTCGAACAATTCGGCCCTGTATAGCAATGAAATATTCTACTTTTATTTCTTTTATACTACTAATAGTAGTATAAACTTTTCGCAGGCTAATTTATCCTTTTTGTTGGTATTACAGACCATGCTGAATAATATTGATAGTAATGGCTTTCCTGAATGGCGCGATTACTTGTTTATACGAAAACCTGGTGATAAATCATGGTCACGTCGTCTGTGTGTTCTAAGAAGTTCTGGTCTATACACTTCAAGCAAAAACAAAAAGTCTTTCTCAGTAAGTGGAAGTAATTATTTCATCAATATTCAATTGCGAACAATCTGAATGTCTATGTTAAGCATGTTGTATATCTTGTGGTAATCTTACAAACGATAGCGTATTTTGAGATTAACGTTAAGAATGACAGACAGTGGGAATAACTTCATCGGTTTCAAGGTTGCCGTTCTCTTTATCCATCATGAGTGCCATGGATTCAATCTTCATGAAAGCTGTCCATACCTTATTATTCAAGGTGTCATAATTGAATAAAATATTACTGACGTTTTCTGCTTCATCAAATTACTATGAAATAAGTCACTACATTTGTTAGAAAATCACTCACTATTCCACCATCTAGATGCCAGAAGGGCTTTGTTTAAGTTCACAGTATCTGGTTGGTTGACAAAAGTTCGAAACATGATCCATGTATTATTTATTGGTACTTGTACTAACCAATCCCCTAAAGGTCTAACAATGAAAGTAAGTTTCACAGTTGGTGGTAAGGATTTACTACGCAATTTTATGTCTAAAAATGCTGATTGGTGATTACTGAATTTAACAGAATACGTAGTTTATGCCAAGAGTTGAATTGGTGGCCATCAAGATAGTACCCTGGTGCTTTCATGAACGGCCTACAAGATACAAAAGGACTATTCCTTAGACTTTGATGAGTCAGTTGACTAACTAAGTTGCCGCACATTGAAAAACTCCAAGTTATAATGAACCGTGTGTATATTTGGAAAGTTCTTTGGTTTTCTCAAATCATAATCACTGATTCGGACGTTATACTCAGCACATCAACCTCAGATTAGAAGAGCATTGGTTTATTATCATCGCTAAAGCTATACTGCTAAGTTGATTCTACTACCAGAAAGGGAAGAAGTCCTCTTGTAATAACCATGGAGGGATCAAGATGATTCCTCTAAGATTCTAGGTTCTATAATCATTAGACGCCTGATTCGAGCTCGGGATCAGATTACCGGAGAAAACCGGCCAGGCTTCAGACCTGGTCGTTGATGTGTTGACCAAATATTCACTCTCTCAGGTTCCGGAACACAGGCACACTTACTGACGCCCGACAATAGCTGTATTTCTTGACCTGAAGGCGGTATTCAACTCCGTCGGTCGAGAAGTCTTATTGCCGTGTCTTTCATTGTGAAAGGGGTACCGAGTAACTACATGACCTCATTGAAGGTTCTTTACTCAAACACCTGTGGGAGTGTTAGAGACTATGGTGAGATATCGGGTGAGTTGTGTACGTTGAGTGGTGTCCGTCAAAGGTGCCCAATCTCTCCATTTCTACTCAATATTATTATAGATGTTCTTATGGAGGCCTCCCTCTCGTCATCTCACGACACAAAGATTGACCTGATCACAGGAGGATTTTTAGTAGACCTAGAGTACGTAGACGATATAGTCTCGTTAGGTGAAGACACTGACAAGATAAAGAGTCTTCCGGACACCTCGAGTGGCAGTTTGAGAATGTTTGGGATGCGTCCCTCACCACCTAAATGCAAATTATCGATCAAGGACTGGTCTTAAACGGTACCCCAACTAACAATAGAGAGTGAAATAGTTGAGCGCGCTGAAAACCTCACCTACCTCGGAAGTCGGGTCAGCCCTAGTGTGCTGGTCAGTGGCCGACGAAATCTCTGCACGGATACAAAAACTGGGTTGGCTTTTGCCAACGAATGGCATCTGTGACACCGGCGCGATATCCGGTTGTCTATTAATAGTCGAGTATACTGTGCTGTAGCTTGCTTTGTGCTGCTGTATGGCTGTGAAACATGGGGATTAAAGGTGGAAGACATGAGAAGGTTTCAGGTGTTTGACCACCGTTGGCTTCGTAGCATAGGCCGTGTTTCGTGGTGTCACTATATGAGTAACGCAGAAGTCAGGTGTAGAGTTTCAGGGAGAAGAGGAATGTAAGTTGATGCGGTTGTGTTATGTTTGCTTATCCAACGTCTGCCTCATCGCACAATGTTGTCCGAAGTAGGTTCAGGCTAGAAATAGGCTCGGGACGACCAGACTGAAACATAGCATCAATGTATGAAGTCTTCGACTTTTGGGTTGAGCCATGTAGGGCAATGGAGACTAGCCTGTTGGGCGCCATGGGACAAGAGAAACGAGCGTTCGGAGACCCTAAGTGATATAGTTGAGAACCGATTTTAAGGGTGCAGAAGTATACACACATTATCCTCATCTTAGTAGCTATACTTAATCTCATCATTTTCTCATTCCTCCTTCGTCTCTTTTACTAATTTCTACTTCTATTTCCTTTGATCGATTTTTCTTTCATTCTTCATCTTCCATTTTATTGTTTTGTTACTTGATGTGCTGATATGACATGTGGTAACTTGGATTATTAGGCAGTTATGCCTAGTCCTATGTTGATCCTAATGATGATGATTCTATTTACTAGCTAAGACCTATTCCTACAATTGTCTCAATGGCTTTCAATTTCTAGAGTATTCCGCGAACGCTGACAGTAATTAGAATGATAGACCAGTAACCCTGAATTGAAAATGTAAATTTGAGATTTGAGTATATGTTTGCCTAGCATGTTCAACGTATGGACACATAGATATAGAAGTCTGAAGTTATCAAATGATTTTTCTAACCTACTCTATGACATGAACGCCTTAGCAGAATCACACTTCCTAAATGTATATTCAGCATAGATATAGTAATGAGTTTCGCTCCTTGCTTCAGTCTGTTCTATGTGTTATCTCGAGTCCTATGTGAACTATGATGACGTAACACCATAGTGAAGTACTCGGACCACCTATCTGACTCACTTACTACCAATAGAGTTTACATCTGAAACTGTGGGCTGAGTTATTCCTGTTATTTTAGTTTGGAGATTTATGAGGATTGGATTGATTTCATAATGGTATTTATCACAGATTGACATCAATTGGAGAACCACTGGAAACCTCGACGCACTGGACAGATGTTTCACCCTGATGTGGGGCCTCTCCACAATACACACCAATGACCTCACCAGAGGTAGAACGCAGGACCTTCAGGTTCCTCGGCGAATATGTTATCAGTGAGGAAATGAGTGGGAATCCAATAGTTGGCATATCCTACTTCTATCAACTCGCGATATACCGATGACAGTGGATGATTATTTGATCCCTGAAGGAAGTCATGCGTACGCACTGCTGAAGAATCATATATTAAGACGAAACAGCTGTCTAATACTCTGAGGTTTACAAATGCACTCCAAATGATATCAGTTTATGATGAGTACCACCCTGAAATTTTTATTATAGTGTAACTGTTGTTTTTATATTTGTGAAAAACAAGTTGGATTTAGATCTTGGATACATTGGTTGTGTATTCTCTCTTCATCAGTTGCTTGACTACCATCACCACGTGTTGTAAGCCAACAGTTGTTGTGTTGTCTGATACTACCATTTCGTTTGGTCTGCTAGATAAGGTACCGTTCACTCCGTGGAAACAACATAAGTAATTCTGACATTCAGTCGTACTTGTTTAAGTTTGATGATGGCTATCACTCAATAAATGAGACGACCTTGTAATACAAGCTCTGTTGGCTTCCATACGTTCTCTGTATATTATCCCAGTGGCATTCATCCTATTCCTGGTTCCCGAATCGTCAATCTGATTAGAAGATGTGCAAACATGCCCAATATATTACGTGGCAGCATGAGATGAAGGATAGTTGTAGGGATCACAACTTTTTGAGGGGACTGAAAGTCATCATGCGATTTTACTGGCTTGAAAATGGTATCATAAATAACTCAGAACCGAAAGCAGTCGTGATCATCTTGTAGTTTCCATTGATTCTCCTATTGTAACAAAGGAGTGGAAGCTTTTCAACTTCGTCTTATGCATCTGATTCTGTGATTATTATCTCCTTTCTCAATTCTATTTACCTCTCCTTTTTAGTTGAAGCCATCATAGTATTGTCTCATATTACTTCGTATTGCATGTTTGTTTTGGTTTGTTCTGAATTTATGCTTAAAAAAAGAGAAATAAATTACTCCTAACTTATACCATTAGGTTCATGGTGATTAGCGCTTAGCCTTCAACAACATTTCCTAAGATTATATTTTACTGTAACCTCACTTTTGTCATACCTAAGTCAGTGTTTACATATACTACATACATGTCTAACTTGGCTCAGTCCACAGATCTTATTCGTATCCTGGTTTTGGATGGGCCCTTAAAACTATATACTACAACTGGAGGTTGGTCACGCATGCGTGCACCTACACCGCATGGTTTCGCATTTAAGGTGAGATATCTTGTTAACTTGTATAATGCAAATTTTTATTATTATCTCTTCAGTCTGCTTTCAACTGCTTACCATTATTTTGTTATCCATAACAATAAAACAAATGAACATATATCACAAACTAACCCTACAAGTTTTAATGCGTAGTGGCGATTAAGGGTAATATGAGAACATGTATGGGAGCAGGATACGAACCAGGTGCTATGCAAACTGAGCTATGATACCCACTTGTTAACTTACATCTTAGCTTTAATCACTGAGGTCGACGTCTAACTGTCATGTGATTGTTTATTGAAAAACTTTGAGTTGTTTGTTGTTATATAGATGGTCAGAACTGGTTTATGGTGCTCACCAACAAGGCGTATCTGACACACGGAATCAGTGTAGAACCTCGCACACAAGTTCATCACCTCAAGTTGCCACACTTCACAGTAGTATACAAAAAATAGATGGACAGAAAAAGTGATATCAAAGTAGACAAAGTCGCGTGAGGGAATAAACAAGATTAGTGCAAATAGTCAAGCTTTAGGAGATATCAAGGAGTGAATACAACGGAGCCAATGTGGTCGATTTTCAGCCATATCATCAAGAGTCGTCAACCACTGATTCCTGTCGTCTCGGGGATCCCAAGTAGATAGACTACATCTACTCCTACGGCTCACACCAGCAGTGAGGGTTTCTGTCGATTGGTGTCAAGTGTTGGTCTGGCCACTCTGAACCCTCTTTCAACTTGATCCAACTTCCCTTATCATTTCACTTCGAGGTACGAGATGACTAGGCATGCTCAGTACATATCCAAGCCATCTCAGTCGCTGAATGTTTACAACCTTATTGACCCACTTACATGTCTTGCCTAGTACCCTTCTTGAGCCCTCTACACTGCTGACACGGTGATTCCACAAAATTCAAGGAATACTAGGAAGAAATCTATGACCAAAACTTGTAACCAATTTATGATTTCTTTTAATGGCTATGTCTCACAGACGTATAACACGATAGAACGAACTGCAGCGCAGTATATGCATCCTTTAATAGGTAGAAGGATATCTCCCCAGTCAGCACCATAGATGATGCAAGTTGGCAAGTACAACTTATTATTATTTGCCCCTTGGGTTCCTAGTGGAACATAGGACTTCAGTAGCACGTCTCCATTCCACTCTCTTCTCTGCAATCTTTCCAACCTGGCTCCACGACTGTCCAGAGGCTCTCATTTCTTCCTCACACCATCTCCTCTATGTCACCCTCACCTTGGACGACCAACTCGTCGTTTGCCATCTGGGTTCCACTCGAGGGCCTGGCGCGTGATGTCCCCAATCGGCCTTCTCAGTGTATGCCCAATCCATCTCCACTTCCTTCCAGTGCATATTTGTCGGGTGATAGGTACTTGGTTGGTTCTTTGTCATCCAGAGTTCCTTGTTGCTTATTCTTTCTGGCCATCTGATCTGATCTTCAGTGTCGAGTGAATGAGCGTAGGCGGCAGCTGTTAATGTATGTCTGTAGTTTGTTGGAAATGCTTTTCGTAACGCACCAAGTCTCTCAACTATCACATAGAAGCACTAACTTAAGTGACTTGGTGTTGAAAACCCGGATCTTGTTCACGCTTTATGCTGAGTGCAGTACAGTAGATCTCCACACTGATTTCAGATTAATGAAGACCTGTTTTATTGTCTTTCCTATCCTGGCTTTGAGATCCTAATCTGTGCTGCCGCCTGTATTTGAAAAGATGCTGTCTAGGTAGGTAGGTGGGAGAGATTACTTCCTGTGGATTCCTCCTGTTGATGGTGATTGGTGCTTGTTGTTGTTGGTGGTGGCGTTGGTTGGATATCATCATCACTTCTGTCTTCTCCACGTTCACCTGAAGGAAGTTTCTTCTTCGTTCCCTATTCTACCGACTTTTTAGTTTTTGCCTGTACCTTCAGTTAATATAAATCTGTTAAACCACGACTATTTCAGATAGTCAAACGGATAAGAAATTAGTTTTTGTTATTTTCCTGCATCGGATTAGTTTTTAGCTTAATGTTGTGGAAATGTAATGTTTTCGTAAGAAAAAAAGTACAGTGAAGCTTATATAACTTTCAGAGAGAAGTGAAATGAGGATAGACAACAGATATGTTTTACGAAATTTTCCACTGAAAAGTGGTAGTGTTTTACATTACAACTAAAATACTGCAAGTAGAAAGAGACAGAAAGAGAGAGAGAGGACGGGTGGTAGGGGAACAGGGAGAAAGGAAGAGAGATAACTCCTGTACTGTCATAAATGAATATCGACAAAATATCCCAAAATAAAACGATACATTTTATGCTATCAAAAAAATAGTAATGGTTGTTATTCTCTACCCTCCTACCAGAGAAAGAGATAAGGTAAAGTGAGACAATAATCATAGATATCTTGCGTGTTCTTATTCAACTTTTATAATAATAAAGGCTATATTGAAATGCACTCAGTAACCTTGTACACATTCGTACAGCAGGCAATGAGTCAAACCTATTGTGTGAGACGGCTGTTAACATCATCTGGTTGCCCAAAACTCTAAAGGTGGGGCGATGTTCGAACTTGTGGCCCAATGATTACAAGTTATTTCCATAAACCATTGACCTACATTTCCACTGATGGTTACGTAGAAATATGTCAAACAGACGATCCACTAAGGTATTATCACACACAAATAAGATATACTGGTAAATAATTGAAACGAAAATGTTTTGTGTTGTGACCAAGTGGTGGGGTCGCGCATGTGGGTATAATGAATACTGAGACTCAATAGACACCTCAACCGAATACCTTTACGACTGACCTCCCTCAGTACCTTCTGCTTCACTGAGCCGCGAAAAAATCAGAAAGCAAAGACGGCCTGTGACTGCAAGAACAGCCACAACTTTCATTGGGCAAATACATGACATATATGTAGTCACAAAACTCTCAGGAAGTGAAGCCATAAATAAACTAATCCGATTTCTTGTATGAGGTCGAAATTCTCCAATCTGATTCTCATGCATGCATAAATCACGACGTGAGCATGATCTGATCATGACTTGAAAACAACTTCCCTATTGGCTGCCTTTTGTCGCTACGTATTATTTTGTCCCTCTCATTAATAAATAACAACACTAAAGAAGGACAGAAGTTTGACTTTTGTATCTTTGTGATGTAGACTAATCTCCGTTTTATGTATTCCTGGGCGTATTTCTAACTCTCATCTGAATGTAAAAACATTCAATATTCTTATGGAATAAACTGAAACCTTGATAATATTGTTTCCGTTCAACAGCAGTTCTCCTTGAGTGTGGAAATAAGTACCTTTTGTAAATTTCAAACTATTCACAAACGACTGATAGACTTAGATATGAATGAAGTCGAAATTCAGGACTACCCACAGCTAGTTAGCTGTTTAAAGGTTTCTGACAACCTTGAAATGGTTAACACTTTTGATGGCGTTTTGTTCTTTGAGCTAGATGGTTTGATCACGAAGCTTTTGTTATCATTCTAGATAACATCATCATCAGCAGAAAAAAGTGGGCTATAGGATTTTCTTCTCAAGTGGTGGTATAGTACCTCGTTCTGATGACCTTGAGTGTGATTAGTTGTTTCTGCTAGGAACCTATCATTGTCTCCACACTCATATTTTGATTGCTTGTTCTGTCGACGTGAACTTTGACCTTCTTGTTGTTTCTTATTGATTGACAGACTGGGTCAATGTCGATTTATCTGTTGACCACTGTCTGAGTTGAGTGTCAGGCTTCCTTTCCTCTATCCAGGATTTTCACATTTTCCCAGTCAAATTCATGTCCATAGTTGTCCATATGCATTGATATGAGCGAAGATATGTCATGACGCTTCATTGCTAGTTGATATTCATATGGACGGATGGGAAAAGGGTGACCACTCTGTTTGGTATTTTCAGTTTACTTTGTAGATAATGTCTGGTTTGTCTTCTTTAGCTATTGTACCTCTCAGCCTGCATAACACAGAGTGAACAGATTTTGTCGGCTTGTGAACTATAGTCCTTCCAAAAAGCTTCATTATTCTAATAGCTACCTCGGATAAGTTCTTCAAGTAAGGTAAGACGATCCACCTATCGGTTTCCAAGAATGATATTTTGGTTGACGGAGAATTACATAAACATCTTTTGATGAAGTTGTGAGGATAGCCGTTCTTGTGGAAAACATTCATTAAATATTTTTCTTATACAGATGTGTTACATGGGCGGACAGCTGGTAGCCATAATGACAGATTTTTTCCATTTACCTTCGAAATATGCATAGTACAGTTCTAATGCTTTCTCTGTTAATGATGAGAAACCGTAACAGTGGTGGTACACTTGTATTGGCTATTTTATCCGTCTGGTGTTCGTAATATTTTAATGAGTGATAAAAGGACTCAGTTCACATCATGTATATCCTCAGATTTTTACAATCACTTCTGCAAGTGGTCATATTGATGTCCCTAAATATCATTCTAAATCATATGGTCAAGGAGAACACTTTTTTAATACCTTCAATAGAAGCGTAGAGACCGAGAATGATAGAAGAATCTGGAGATAAATTCTTGCCCGCTTTATCCCGTGACATCAAATCCTCCAGCCCCGAATCGTTTGTCCCCAGCAGAAATCATGTTTAGTCTAAAAGCCAAAATCGTCCTCGATGCAGTTTGACCCCTAAACAACTGGAAAAAATGTAAATCATTTCAGTTGTAGATGTGGAGCTCATTGTTGAGTCTTCAGATTAAACCAGGAGGTTTATATGAGCGATTTTTTATCTGTACCACTAAAGCGGGCTTGTGGACAAGAAGTTGGCCACCGAGAAAATGTTCTGTACAAAATGTATGTATAAGAAAAGACATGAACAAGACATGCGAATCGCCCACAGCAATGAGGCAAGATCTCTTACTTGAAGTCCGTTTGGAGATATTTAATATTTCACTGCTAGAAATGCGGGATTCAAGATCAGATGCAACCCTTTTCCTGCTTGAAGGTCAGTTTAATCAGTGAAAGAAACTACAGCCTTTTCAAATAGACCCCAGAGGGAAGTAATAGAGCGGAGACCCGATGGAAAGCGAGTAAAGTGAAAATCAACATCTCAATTCATTCACTTATCAGATAGGATATTCTTGATCTACTGTGCTTCATGGAGCCAATTAAGATGCCATGGGTTAGTCTTTTTGGGGCTCAGTAAACAGGTGGTGTCGTGTTCAGTTTCATTGTTTTACTGGATTGAATATCATTTCTACCTCAGCATTTTATTCCACTCGACTACTTCAGTTAAAAAGACGCAATAACTTATCAAGCCTGACTATTTGATATATATAACCTTTTAATATCAAACTTTTACTTTATGTTTTAGCCTTACTCAGCGCAAGATCCATCCTCGATGCATGTGTTCTGCTTTTGTGCAACTGATGAAAAGGCATTACGTCATTGGATTAGTCGATTGCGTATAGCTAGAGTAAGTTGTTGTTTACCGTATAAGTCAATATGATATAATAAATGTTTTAACCAATTGAAACTTCATAATCCTATTATAGATATACCCGATGGAGTCATTTATTAAGACATAGCTACTATATAAAACTGTGCAGAGATTAAATATGATCAATTCGCGTTAACTGATAACAGTCCAATCAACTGTAAGATTTGGCCAATGCAGCAGAATGCAATTTCATATTATTATTATTTGTCCCTTGGGTTCCTAGTGGAACATAGGGATTCAGTAGCACGTCTCCATTCCACTCTCTTCTCTGCAATCTTTCCAACCTGGCTCCACGACTGTCCAGAGGCTCTCATTTCTTCCTCACACCATCTCCTCTATGTCACCCTCACCTTGGACGACCAACTCGTCGTTTGCCATCTGGGTTCCACTCGAGGGCCTGGCGCGTGATGTCCCCAATCGGCCTTCTCAGTGTATGCCCAATCCATCTCCACTTCCTTCCAGTGCATATTTGTTGGGTGATAGGTACTTGGTTGGTTCTTTGTCATCCAGAGTTCCTTGTTGCTTATTCTTTCTGGCCATCTGATCTTCAGTAACGAGCCAGTGTAGGCAGTTGTTGATGAATATTTGTAGTTTTTTGGAAATGCTTTTCGTAACGCGCCAAGTCTTTAAACCATAGAGAAGCACTGATTTGATGTTGGTGTTGAAAATCCGGATTTTGTTCCATATGCTGAGTGCAGAAGATCTCCACACTGGTTTCAGGCTAATGAACGCCTGTCTTGCTTTTCCGATCCTGGCTGACTTTGACATCCTCGTCTGTGCCTGTGCCGTCTGTAGTTGAAACAGTGCTGCCTAGATAGGTGAAGGAGGCTACTTCCTTTAAGTTTCTCCCGTTGATGGTGATTGGAGTTTGTTGTAGTTGTTGGTACGGTATCTTCATCACCTCTGTCTTCTCTACATTCATATTAGATTTGTTTATTTGATGTACATATAGTCAGCACACAGTGATAAAGTCTTATTTACTTGATCACGACGTTTAAGAGCATAAATTATTATTCCTAATAATCATATCAAAATAGTCAATCACCCAGCTCTCGACATATTCTTTGTTTTTAGTTGTAGTAAAAATTTTCCACATCTCTAGTATACGTGTTGTATCTGTTATGATTTAGACGGACTGTTATATGCTAGGGCAGGTAACGATGCACAGATATCGACTGTCAGCCACCAACATTAAATAAGTTCCTAGTTGATTCCCGAACCGACTAATTAGTGGAGAGAACACGAAGGATGTGTAGAAACGTGTATTAGAGTCGAAAAACTGAAGGCGGATGATGGGAGAGTTTATTACTCCGAGAATATAATATAATAATCAATCCCAAAACATGTGAATCAGTACAAACATGAAAAATGACCTTGTCCTCAATTTGAGACATTTGCATAGTAACGATAAAAATTAACCAATCAGCGATTTACATTACAATTGCGGCAGAAAATAGACTACTAGTCATAACGTGGTGTGGGGATGACACGTTAAAATGTTCAGATCAATAACAATGTCTTATACAAAACTGGGGCATCACGATAGTATCATTCCTATTACATATGTAAAGTGTCGATTCAATGAACAAAGATTCAGTAATCAATCTCTTTCTCCATCTAACTAACTCTATTGGACTTAAGTACAGTGGTTTTATCCCAACCTACTGTGTGTTAATGCATACATTGCAATAGCCGAGTTTCCCCTAGATTATTGATCTTATTTGGGTCTGTCATTCCTATGTTCCGCTATTCTAACTGACCTCGACCGGGTTAGTTTGACCTCATATTATTGAATGGAATTTGGTAGATCAAATTATTTTGTTTAATTGGATCTAACGGATTCTTAAACCGAGAAAGTTTACCTCTGAGTGAGTTTGGAGGTCTATCACCATCAAAAACAAAGAATAACAAGCGATAGGACTAGAAAAATCAGATATCGAAAGGAGTGTGATTACACTGATATAGATTATGAGTAATAATAATTTATACTCGGAATGTCGTCATCAAGTAAACAATACTGTATCACTGTGTCAAATAAGCAATGTAATATAGAGTTGTACACTGTCACATTACCTAAGTCTTACTCTAGAGGGTAATTACCAATGAGTAGTGTTTCCTTTATTCGTTTTAATTCATTATTTTAAGTCTTTGGGTAGTTGGGAAAACATGACTCTACAAACGTTTAGTCCTGCACTTAAGATATAGTGGGGATATATGGATGACACATTTACTCCATTCAAATCGGAACATATCGACAGTTTCTTCCACACATATAAGCTCAGTAGTGGATGTAATCCAATTCACTTAAGAGGTAGGAAATGAACAAGGAGAATTACCTATGTTGGATTGCAGGATAAAACGAAGGACAGACAGTGGTTTGGATACTGCCGTCTACAGGAATCCAACACATTCTAATAGGTATCCAGACTTCAAGTCATCTCATTCAGTGTCAGTTAAGGCGGGTTTAGTCAGATATCTAAATGATAGAGCTAGGAAACTGACTAGTCAGTGCACAGACCTAAACAAGGAACCGAAGCACACAAAAGAAGCGCTTATAGTTAATAACTATCCTCTGTAGTTTATTAAGAAATTTGTAAGATCACATGAGAAACGAAGCAATAACAGTAATACAAGTATGAATAATAACGAAAGCACGAGTAGAAAGGAGTTCAAAGCCTCTATTGTGTTTTCATGTAAGGAAGGAACACCAGAAACTTTACCTAGAATTCTCAACAAGTCTGGAATGAAGGTGGCATTTGAACCTACAAACTCACTCAGAGATAAGCTTTGTTGACTGGCTTAAGAATCCGATAGAACCAATTGAACAAAATAAACTAATGACTGCGAGGTCACGTACATAGATTAAACTATCCGGTCGGGGTCAGTTAGATCAGTGGAATATAGGAATTTAGCCAATTGTAGAATGACAGACCTCAATAGGGTGAAAAATCTAGAAAAATACTCGATTACTGCAATGCACACATTAACACAACCACACAGTAGTGCGAGATAAAACCACTCTATTCAAGTCAAATGAAGTTAGATGGAGAGAGAGAAATTGATTACTAAATTTTCGAGGGAGTTGTATGGATTTGGAAATATTTCAAGTTGTTACTCATGGTAGACTGACATCAGTTGGAGGAACGAAGGAAACCTGCGGGCACTAGACAGCTGTTTCGTCCTAGTATGGGACTGCTCAGTAGTGCGCACCCACGACCCCGCAACCTTCAGGTTCCGTGGCCACCACGTTACCATTGTGCTAGCCACTGGGTCAGAATCCAATGGTCCATATTCCCAACTTCCGTTAGCTCACGGTATAACGCCACCGTCACTCAATCTCATCGTTGAGTAACTGTCCTCACGATCATCAGGCTTTTCCTCCACCGGTCATGACTTCTCATTGGAACTTCGGGAACACCTGTCGAAGCTACTCACCAATGAGCACCAGTTCAATTGAATTTTGAGGGGTAGTTGTGGGGATTTGGAAATATTTCAAGTTGTTATTCATTGTGGCGGTTGCGCTATATCGTGAGCTAACAGAAGTTGGAAATATGGACGATTGGATTCTGACCCAGTGGCTAGCTCAGTGGTAACGTGCTGGCCACGGAACCTGAAGATCGCGAGTTCATGGGTGCACACTGCTGAGGAGTCCCATACTAGGACGAAACAGCTGTCCAGTACTAAGTTTTTGTTCATCGAGTCAACACTTAACTAACACATGTACTAGAAATGGTGTAACACGTATACTAGAGATGTAGAAATTCTTACTACTACTGAAAACAAAGAATGTGTCAAGAGCTATGTAACTGATTACATTAATATGATTATTGGTAATAATAATTTATGCTCGAAATGTCATGATCAAGTAAATAAGACTTTATCACTGTTTGCTGACTATACAAATCAAGAAATCTTATATGGAATCATCCATTTATATCAGGAATATGCTATAGTCAGTTATTTGGGTTGAAACATTGCATATATCAATTGCTCACCTCACGCGTATGAGTCAAACTGTTTCACATTGTAACTCTGCCTAATAGACAAAACTTATTAGCCTAGTTCACAATAAGGTCGATAGTTAAGTTCTAATTTATTTTCTTGACGCTTGTAGATCTAATCATATTATATGCCAACAATTCTAAAGTTTTTTTTTTAGCTTATTTGGTTGGTGCTTAGCAGTGGAATTCAGGCTTCGCGTTTCGTCCTACTTTAGACTCATCAGCCGTATGTACGATTAATCAGTGAGATATCCCGGAGTTTTTTTAAACATGTCCCTATTAAATAGATGCTATACTGTAGACTTGGACTATCACTACACTGAATACACCTATCACTCTTCTACACACACACAAACACCGGTCGTAATATCCTTGACTAGTTCCACAGATGTAAATCTACACCTGTTGAATTTAGGATACTACCAATATACACACTAAACAATCCTTGAATAAATTTTATTATTCAAATGTATAGATTCAAGGAGGTTACTGAAAGAAATGAAAATTCACTAGTTATGTACAGATATGATCAATGGGATCAATGGGGGAGTGATCAGTTGTAAAGTGGACAATTTTTTCCTTTTTAAAGGAAAGCTTGATTATAGTCACCATAGTAATTTCTTGTGCTATGGACATCAGTTTTTATTTATTGATACTTATACTTTTTTCATACTGAATGTTATGCTGGTGTTTGAATTGATGGGCTTTGGGTTTCCAGTCCCAGTGGGGAAAATATTACTCACTAGGAGGCAGGGTATGTCCAGCTGATGAATTCGAAGTAGGACGAAACGCTTGTCCCGGCAACATTGAAGCATTCACACATGAGCCCATAAGTCCAGTCAACGATGGTAAACTACAAGCTATGACATAAAGCTACATTAATTACAGTAGGATTGGAAGTAGCGCTTCTAGTACACAACCCTAACCAACGGAAGTATGACAAGGTTTGGATCTGTTTTTCATTTGTAAGAGAATTTTTACAACCGGTAAGACTATTATTATCATATAATTGTAACTTCTAGTGGCCAGAAGTAGTTAACAGTCAACAGATGATGAATTCCAACCTAAAATCAACCAATTAATAAATCTCCACAAACCTCTAGATAGAATTAATCTAGCGCTTGTTGGTGACCAGCTTTGAGAGGTGATCCCCAAAGTTCCAACAAGAAGTCGTGACCAGTGCAGTCAACCAAGTCGGACATGAGGACAGTTAATCAACGATGACATTGGATGTAGGTCGCGCTACATTATGAACTGACAGAAGTAAGAAATGTGGACCATTGGATTCCGACCGAGTGGCCTAGCGGTAACGTGCTGACCAGGTAACCTGAAGGCCTTGGGTTCGATCCGTGGTAGAGTGGGCGGGGTCATGGGCTTGCACCGATGAGGAGTCCCATAGTGAGACGAGACGGCTATCCAGTACTCTCAGGTTTTCAATGTTTCGCCAACTGATGTCAGCCGATGGTGAATTCCAACATAAAACCAATTGATAAACCTCTAGATAGGATTTACAGTTAGTCACTAAAAGTGTAATGCAAAAGCAAGCGGATCTAGTTATGCAATAGTCGGAGGGGAGATATCCTATTCATTAAGTCATGATGGGTTAAGACAACAGTCTATAAATGTGTGTAACATGGTATCCGATAATGTTGTTTACAATGATGATGTTTTTAATAATCTGTTTTCTTTGTATTCTAGTATGGAAGACAGTTGCTGACCGACTATCATATGGCTCTTAGTCGCGTTCACCAATTAATCAGTCTTCGTAATCAACTAAGCATTAATTCAAATCGTTCAAGTAATGCTATGATAAGTGTAAACTTACATCCTAAATCATCTTTTGATTATCTTTCACAATCATCATCATCGATACATGCACCTACGGGAAGTTCAAGTAGTCTTCTAGTTTCAAGTTCTTCTCCATCAGTTTTCCCTCGAGGAGGTGATCCACGTTATTCTGAAAATTTTCAGGATCATCATCATCATCACCATCGACAACAACAACAACAATACTCGTGCAGTAGACAATCATTACATCCAAATATTCAATCATCATTTTCAATACGTCCTGTTTCTCCTCTGAGTATTAGAGCAAGAATGATATCCGATTGTGATAATTCCTACCTCGTAAATATGAATCATTCTTCAGAACAAATAAAACATCAAAGTAAATTTACACCGAACATACAACATTCTTCAGATAGATATAAGTAGTAAGATAGATACAAGTCGTACAAATAATATATCCGTTCAATAATTCAAAGCTAAAATTATCTGAACTACTTGTGATAATGGAAGAAAAAAATAATTTTGTGATCTCAATATCTAAAGAACAGACACACACACACACACAAAATCTACGTGAGATTTCTGTGTACACAAAGGAGGAATATAATAAACCTTAAAGTTATTTCTCTTTTCATGTGTACTTCTTATGTATCTCTTCTCTTTTTCTTCCCTTGTTTAGATGATTTCAGAAAGTGAACATATACAATCAGGTTGGAGTTTCAAAGCATTTCTTTTTGTTCAAAATCAAAAAATTACCTTACTTCTTTCCTATCAACAATACATTTTTTTATTGTTACCAATCAAAACTGTTACAGTCAATACAGATATCCACTCTTTTTATAACAGAATTAAATTGATAAATATTCAGTTTATGCACTTTTCTCTTTAAAGGTTAAAAACCTTATTATCTTCACATATACATATAAAGGTGATTATACATAAATATTAGCGCCAATTAGTTTCATTTCTTTTTCACATCAACTTACCATAACAAATTATCATTCTAAATCAACTGACATCACCTTGAAATATATAATTTTCAAATAAGCACTTTACTGCTGAAATCAAATTTAAGTAGTATACGGTGGTTAGACGAAAGTTTTTGAAGAAGAGTAGATACTAACCAAGATTCACAAAATTTGAAACGTAAATCAGCAATTAAAAATTTAATTGTAATTGTTAATATTGTCCCAATCTTCATCAGGTTCACTATTTCAGAGATCTACACAAATTAATCTAATGGATAAATTATTAAAGAAGATTAAAGTTCTCATGATTTTGAGTTTTCATTGTTTTTATAACAAAAGAAAGCAATAAAAATACTTTCACTTCATGTTTATTCATTTACTTTCGTTATTGTACAGTTTCATTATTGAAAAAAAAATACATACTTGATAGAATACAATTTTCTTTATATCACTTTTAAAATGTTCACAGTTCACCGAGTCTCTTCTGCTTTTGGCATCTCCTGAAGCAATTCTGTTGTTTACTTTGATTTTAGCGCTGCGTAGTCCTGATTACTCGCTGGATATTAAGACAGTGAGATTTCTGTGAATGCTGTTTATGTGAAACAAGCGGAAGAGAATTTGAACCATCTGGATGTTGCATAGTAAAACGATATCATTCGTGTAATAGAGGTCGTAAAGTCTTTACAACGTCATCACTCACCTACTTCAGAGTCATCTTTAGAATGTCATCCATGGTAAAGTTAAAGGAGAACGTTGATATTGACCATCCTTGTCCAACGACACTATTGGCTTGGAACAACAGATAGAGGTGGCTGTATGCTTCCACTCTACATGATGTTAAAGTATAAGTCTCTCAAGATGGCAACAAATACCTCAGTGACACCGTTCTCTCACATATATTGCCAGAAAATAACACTGTCCAACAAATCGAAGGTAGTCTTAATATTGAGAAATACAACGAAACTTGATCTGTATTACATGTGACGATGTTCAAACATCTAGTGGAGCATGGACATGTGATCAATGTATCCACGACCTGAAGAAAATCTGACCTGTTCGTTGCACATCAGTTTATCACTCATTTTGCGTAGCCTACGAAATATGATACCAGTCAGTAATTAGACACTACTGACAGCAGACTGATATGTGGATGACTATCATATACATTATATAAACCCTTTTTAGAGATGGGAATAACAATTGCTTCACTTCATAATAATGGGACACTTTCAGTCTGCCATACCTTTCCAAACAATATAGTCAGTCGCATGACTACAGTCTCACCTCCATTCTTAAAAAGAATAGGCGGGTAGATTGTCTGCACAGAGCGCTATAAAGCGTTTTATAACTTAAAGTGCTTTACGGAACTCTACTTCGTTAGGTGGGTCATTATTAACGGACCATGCAGCACAAGATATGGTGTTGTTGGGGCAGTAGGCTAGCTGAACTGTTTTTCGAAAGCTCCAATTAGCGTTCCTGGCGAAGACGAAATTTGGTAGTCGGCGGACCATCCCACTTCACAGATCATCCCATTGACAACAAGCTTCTTGCTATCGGAAGCTTTGATGAGTTGGAACAGCTTTCGGTTATTGCCAGCCGTAGCTGCTGCCTTCCCACCACTCCTGCATTCTAACCGTCAGGTCTTTTGGTCCTCAAGCAACCACTGCCTAATCTGCTGTGTGAGGGAAATATGCACACCACAATGTTCTCTGCCTTCATGAATGCATTGAAGAGATTCAAGAAGTTGCAGAAAACTCACAGAGACTCAGTGGTTAATGTAAGAACACTCTTCGAAACTGCCGTTTCCATGGCATACTGTGTAGACAACCAGTGCTCTTTTATGCCTTCTGGAAGTTCAAAAGCTAACGTTGAACTTAGTTAGAGTTAGTATTTAGCTGCAGCACTCGATGTTATCAATTTACTTAGACTGACCTGTTTACGACGATGATTTCGAAGAAAACCAAAACGGAAGTTGAATCAAGCATCCGAATACGGTTGAAGTTCAAACAATTGTTTCACAAGAAACAGTAGAATTTCATGTATATCAAGCCTTTGGTACCCAATAGCCCTGTCATCGATTTGAGTCCAGACTTAAGTGGCGGAGAGAGGATGGCAGGCAGACCAACGGTGATATGTGTAAGGAGTTGATGCTGGCTAGAAACAGTTTGTGATCCACGTGAAGATGCAGGAGGAATTCCCTATGATATGAGGAGCGACCAGCCAGTCCTCATACACCACCTCAGCGACCTCTCTCTGGGCCAAGCCTCTACATTCAAGTCTTCGACTAGCACTATGATATCTGTCGAGTGCACTTGATGCACAGGGTAATACTCAGTTGCTGGTAAAACCCATCTTCAACTGCATTCAGGATGTGGTCAGCAGAAGAATAAGCAGTGATGATGAAGAGATATAATTTCCCCTCCGAGTTATTTTCCACCCCGGTAGAACCTTTTAACCTTCCAACATAGACGACTGTTGATCCCATTCGACTCTGGCACTCTGCGTGAGATAGGTTACTGATGTCAAAAGGTTTTCGCACAAGCTCACTGCAAATACACTTCTTGAGGTGAAAGAAGGGTAATTTACTTGAAGCACTTCACTGGAATCTTGTGCGCAGGTCTCTGAAATACAACACACACACAAAAAGTGAGGTCTTCTGGAACAAACTAGTCTGTTGTCCGATCTGCATTAAAGTCTGAGGGTTGAAGGTGGCAAGCCTAAATGGTGCATGTGGCTTCAGAATAGTTGTATTATATATTGCATCAAAGGGCAGCTTTTTAGAAACAACTTTTTTTAGACTGAAAACGATACAGTCAACCCAGAATTGTAGTCATTGATAATCAACTAAGTGAAGCAAAGATACCTATAAAGATGTATTTGAAAGAGAAGACCAAAAACTTTATTTCTTGAACGACAATGTAAGTAAAAATGGAATGATCACTCTAGCGTCTTTTTACATCACGACTTTTGATTCGTACATGAAGCTTTGATGGACGCTTAGAAGTCGTTATTATTAATGGTGGCTAACAAATTGTATGTAGAATGTGATACTGCCCGAACCGAAGCCGATAGTTGTCTTGAGGTACCACTCCTCAAGCCTTTGGTTTGACGTCTGACTTATCAGTTAGTGAGATGTTGCATTCCCATATTTGGTAGTGGTAAAGTGTATCACTGGTTTAGAATCAGGAGTTTCCAATTCTCCCAGATATACCCTCCACATACATCGATCCGAATGTTCACTTTTCTCCTTACACTCTGCTTTGCGAAGACTGTGAGTAGGAATTCCATATCAGAAACGAACAACATATTCCATTTGAGAGGATTTCAAAAGGATGGCTGGGACCATCTTAACCTTGATCGCGTCAAGGTGTTTGGGTACCTTTAGGGTTTCTATTGTAGAAATTTACTGAGGTTAATTGGTCAACCCTACTACTACTCTCATATCACTGACAGTTTGTTTAGCTCCGATTCATATGGTATCCATTACATAGATATCAGTTAGAGGAAAGAAGAGAGAAGTATTTCTTGTTGAAAACAAAGCAATACAAAGTGTACCCTTTGTTGATTGATTGCCTGTGTATTGTAGTCACGAGAAGAAGAATGTGAAAAGGCATGTTGTAGGACAGCAAATATGGTCATATAATTTAAGTTCAAAAGCCTATTAGAATTTGTTATTTACAAAAAGAAGAGTAATCTCTCCTGATATAATCCACTAGTGAATTTACAAAAACAATCTAATGTTGACAGGTGCATGTGAAATATTGCCCCTTTTTCATAAACGTCTTCAATAAAGATCACTGTGATACGATGCTTTTAATTCATATGGTGATTGCGTTTTTCGCATTACTGATCTGATGGAGCATTAAAAAACTTAATGTAAGATTAGATAAACAAATTGAATCAAAATCTACTCAGTAACTTCCAAAGAAGAGCGACATAAGTCTTTGCAAGAACTGGCGCGGAACCATGCCTCATCCCAAGCAAAATATTAAGCTGCATCATCCTGGAGAGATTAAAAAATGCTCTGGATTCAAAATTACAACCGAAACAGGTTGGGTGGATTTAGGAAGAACAAATCATGTTCGGATCAAATTGCAGCGCTACGCTACGCATCGTCATAGGACAAAGGATAGAATGGTAGTCAACTGGATCTTTACCTCAACTTCGTCGATTTTCAAAAGGTCTTCAACAGTGTCGACCGAGAAGTAAGTTGGTAACTGCTTCAACACTACGGTTTTAGTGCCATAAATTTTTATCAACCTCATTCAACAGCAGCTATATGCTATATGATGCTACATGTCAAGTGATTCACAGTAGAAAGCTCAGCGATGCCTTTGGAGTTTGGACAGGGTAAGATAAGGTTGCCGCCTACTATCCCCAATGATTTTCCTGATTGTGGTTGACTCCACTGGACTGGATCATGCAACAAACTGTGAGGAGTGAGAAGATGGGCACACGCTGCTCGACCGACGAAAAGACCCCAGAAGAAGATTTGGATTTCGCCCATGGTGATTTATGTCTAATGTCGCACAAGCTCGAAGATCTACAGGCAAAAACCAACGAATTGGCAAAAGAGGCAGGGCAGTGAAGACAGGACTTCCTTCAGGTGAATATAGAGAAGACAGAGGTGATGGAGATACCCAACCAACAACGACAACAAGCCTCAATCATCATCAACGGAAGGAAGTTGTCTCTTTCACGCACCTACCTAGGCAGCATCATTTCAACTACAGGCGGCAGCACAGATGAGGACGTCAAAGACAGGATCGGAAAATCAAGACAGGCCTTCCTTCACTGATCTGCAACCAGTGTGGAGATTTACTGCAGTGCACCTAGCATAAAGCGTGAACAAGATCCGGATTTTCAACACTAATACTAATGTCAAGTCAGTGCTTCTGTGTGATGGTTGAGAGACTGGGCGCGTTACGAAAAGCATTTCCAACAAACTGCACACAGCTGTTGCCTACGCTCGCTGGATACTGAAGATCAGATCAGATGGCCAGAAAGAATAAGCATGGAGGAACTCTGGCTGGCTGGTAACGAACCAAACGAGAACCCATCGCCCAACAAATATGCAGAAGGTGGATTGCGTATACTCTGAGAAGACCATTCGGGGACATCACGCACCGGGCCCTTGGGTGGAAGGCGAATGGGAAATGACCAGCTGGGTGTCCGAGGGTGACATGGAGATCGTGTGAGGAAGAAATGAAAGTTTATGGGCAGTAGTGGAGCCAGATTGAAAGGACTGTACAGAAGAGAGTGAAATAGCGATATACTAATGAAGCCCTATATTCCACTAGGAACCTAAGGGACAAATAATAAAATTATGATAACCTTAAGCATGTCACACCTAGTGCATGACGGTTGATGATACTATCTGGTTGTCCAGGTCTTCGATAGATGGAGTGGGGTTCCGACCCCTTACTGATTGGTTGAAGGCCAACTCCCTAAACCAATGATGAACAGCTCCACTAAAATGATCCGAAATGAACTCATTTTTGTGTACTCACTTCAGTTCTACAGAATGTCAGTTGTAACGTGAGTAGCTCTGTGGTTAGGTTTGCGATTTTATCACTGAGTGATACAAAT